GCGCGAGGAGCGAAGGGGGCGGGCACGAGGGCAGTGGGCGTCCCTTTTCGAGATTTACGACGATTTAATCGTACAATTAATCTAACACCTTGTTGCAACAACACCTCGTACCGCGTATCTCCGTTACCTCCGCCGACTCTTCACGATTCCAGGGGGAAAAATCGCGGCCGTCTGCTTCAGGAAGGAAGAAAGGCAGGAAGAAAAGGGTAGAGAGAGGAGTGGAACGGTGAACGGATCGAAGAAGAGGAGCCGTGGCTCTTCTTCTTTCCTTTCTTTCTTTCTTTCTTTCTTTCTTTCTTTCTTTATTTATTTCGATCTATCGTGGTCGAATCGCTGGCAGAAAAGGTGTACCGCGGCGTTAAAGGCTGAGTAACTGGCCAAAGCGATCGGAGCAAGGGTGTACGGAGATGAAGAGAGGAAATAGACGTGCGGCGGTCGGGAGGAGGAGGGAGGAAAAGAGATAGAGAAGGATTTTTGCGGCTATGGATGGCGCAGTGGTGCGCAAAATTCATTTTTAATGGCGGTAGAGATGAGATTCAAGTTCAAGTTTTCCCGTTTCTTTCTTTTTTTTTTTTTTTTTTTTAACTTGTTACCATTCTTTGGAAATGAGTGAGTAAAGAATTCTATTTATCCTTGAAATTATATTTAATTAATTTATTTAAATTATATTAAGTATAATTACGATTTCATAGGTTTCGATTATTAAATATTAATAAGGTAAGGAAATAATATCTAAAGAAAAGGATTGCTCGTTTATTAAAGCGGCAGTTTGCAGTTTCAATATATTTTTTGTATATTTGAGAATTATCCAAGGTGATCGAGTTAATTTGAGAGACAACAAACATCGATTAACATTCATCATGAATTCCAGAATTATTTTAAATACGAAATTAATAGTTCGATATATCTTTGATATAAAAAATTAATTAAATTAAGATATAATGTGTAACTCATGCTGCGTAAACATTTCCAAATATCTTTATTCTATCACTTCCAATTAAAAAATATTATTAAGTGATTTCATTTAAATAAATGATGTCAAAAAATCTCAAACTTTAAATCTATTAGAAATTAAACTAAGATTATCATATATCATTAAAAAAAAAAATCTTCAAATATTGAAAATTATCTTCCAAATTCAAAGAAGTAAATATCGAAAGATTAATACAGATCGCAAATGATTGCGCATCACTGATCCTAATACCAGCTATTTTTTACAAGTGTGTAGGCACGTATAGTTACGTGGAATAAATGAATCCTCCAGTTATTTTATCAGCCCGCCATTGTTTTGCGATCTGAGAGAGGTCCCGTGGCCGACACTCTTAAGCAGATGTAATTTAAACGTGGATGTGTTTCGCTTCGGATCGGGAAAAATCGGTATCGTGCCTGTTTTAACGCTCCCTCGAGATAACGAGTCGATACGAGGAGCGAACACTAAAAATGATTAGGCACAGATATCATTCGAGGTATAATGTGTACTCTCGATACACGTTGATACGCGTCCACGATAAATTAACGTGGTATTTTTATTTTATTTTATCACAAAAAGAAAACGTGAAAATTGAATTTTCTTCCAATGAGAGAATTGTTTATAATAATTCAAACGAATTATAATTATAATTACCAAGAAACAAATTATAAAGTTTATCATACAATTGTACTTCAAGCAAGAAAAAATTAATTCTCATTTATAAAATTTCCTTGTTACTTACTATTATAATAAGAAAATTTATCAATACAATTTATAAATACAAATACAAATATCAACGATTCAAACGATATATAAAATTCGACGAAAGGAAACGTTCGTAATCGTAAACAACCCAACCAAGTTATTAACACCGAATAACAATCATCGAATCCTCCTTTAATCCCGATATTAACAAATAAAATACATCCAAATAATTTAATCTCTGTGCAATATCAAATCCTTCCTTCCGGATCGACTACTCCCGCTGCTAGAAGCCGACCGCTGAAGCCGAACGGTTGAAAAGCGAACCGTATACCCGATAATGGGACAGAGCCGTGGACAGAGGCACAAGTAGTGTCGAGTAACGGATACGAATCGGCGAAAATTCCAGCCACGTATAACCGTGGAACCGAGCATAGGTGCACCTGCGGGCCCTCTTTTGCGCCTCCTCGAAGGGGGGCCGCGCGAGTAGGAGCCGTCCACGGCGTTGTTCCCCGCCGATATAGAGACTGCCGGTGTGCACGGAGACACCCCCGCAAACGAGCGGATCGCGCGTGTGTCCGTACGACCAAGGACAACAACATTCTCCGCAAAACTAATTGCCAGGTAAGTATATACGAGCGACGAGCCCGGTCGAGCGCGGCCGAACACGCGCCGATACACCTTCACGGGGCTTGGGAGACTTACTAAACGAGAGGAGCGTGGACGAACAATGAGATGCTCGGCAAGATAGGAGGCGAGAGGGAAAACGAGGAAAAGGTATTCGATACTCTTCGAGGGGAGAATAGTTGGTTTTGAAAAAAAAATAAAAATAAAAGAATTGATGAGAGCTGAAGGATGGATTTGACGAAGGTGATTGACGAAGATTTTGGAGGGAGGATCGGGAGGGAGGGAGGAAAGGATATTGGGAAGATAGGAAGGGGGAAGGTAAATTTGTTGTTGGCAGAAGGGAATGTGAAACAAGAAAAATGTTGATTGGGAAAAAGTAAAGAAATATGGAAATAGAAGGAGATGTGTCTTATGAGGGTGAATATTTTTGGGAAGTTGAATGATTATAGAGATTATATATATATAAGAAAGGTGGTCGAAAATAAGAAAAGGAGTTTTCGGAAGAGACGAACGAGAGGAGAAATCGAACGTCAAAGGCGAAATATTGATACAAGAGGTAAGAAAAAAATGATAAGAGTGGTAAAAATTAATAAGGAGAAAAAGTGAGAGGTGAATTATGGGACCACCACGAAAGACGGGTGAAAGAAAGAGCGGTGTAACGATGTTTAAGGGACAAAGACAAAAATATAAGGAAAAAGATAATTACGAAATTAAATATATGGTAAAAAAGAAAAATGGAACGGATAGAAAAATATCGCGAGAAGTATAAAATAATAATACAGAAAATTATAAATGTGCAGCAAAGAAAAGTGATATCGCGAAGAAAAATGAATAAAATTGCGAACAAACGAAATTATCCAACTGCAAAATCCAAATAAATAACACAATATATATTCTTTCTAAAATATTACCAATTTTTGCTCGCGCGTATTACGTATTAAACTTAAAAAAAAAAGAAAAAGAAAAGGATTCAAGAAAGAAAATTAATAATAAAACAACTTGCTCGTTTATATTTTTCGAAGAAACGAGCTACCTATCTGATTAATTAAAGTTAAGAAAGTTTTCAACAACTCGTATCATTATAACAAATAAGATAAGATAAAAAGAACAGGAAGCGCGGATCAGGTAAATGTGTACGGAAAAACTGAGAGGGAAAAGTAGAAGAAACGAGCAGAGGGACAGAGACGGAGGGAACAAAGAGCGAACGAAACAAGGTGGGGAGGAAAGAGAGAGGCATAGGAGAAGTATGTATATATCTGTATGGCATAGAATTTATTGCTGAGGACCGGGCTGGACCCCGTTGGGGAGTAACAAAGAGAAAGAGACATACTCGTACGAGAGCGCATAATTTATGCTCTCATTATGCGACAACCAAGATTCATTACGGCCAACAAGCATTGTCGCGCCGATTCGGAGATCGATCATGGCTCGGTAAGTAAATGCACGGACGATCATCGGATATCGCTATTATTTTGCCCGAAGTAATCTGATCGCATAAATAAACAAAAGTAAGAATATTACAATTTGAAATAAGAAACGTACAAAAAAAAAGAAAAATGATTTATTAAGATTTCATCGAAATAATTAAAAATAATTTTTAAAATATCGATAAGATTAACAAAATTATATCATTTCTAAGGAAAATTACACTTTGTCACTTTGTGTTGTTGATTATTCTATATTTTTAAGAAAAAATATAGAATAATGGATCAAAAAATTGTTAAAAGATTTGGTATTAATTGGCTGTTAAATTGATGCGAAGAATGAGTTAATATATTTTGATTGTTTGAATGATGGATAAGTTAAAAAATTGTTGAGTTGCATAACGACATACATAACGAAGGAAAAAATTGAAGTTGAATACAATTTGCACGTTTGTACAGCCTTTAAAGTTAACCGGTGAAAGAGAAAGGACCTCCGTGTAACTCCGACCCCACAATTATCGCCTTTCTTTGGATTATCCATCGGCCTTGAGACGTGTTGCGCTCTTTACAAACGCGTACACGCGCAATTTACTTGACTGTTGAAACAGTGGTTAATAAATTATAATCTTACGAGCAACATTGTGAGATGAGTCGAAATATTAATCTTTATAATTATAACATTTGTATATCCATTTTTTTCGTAGCTTTATTATGTGAAATAAATTTGGCAACTCATAATTTACAGTGTGTAATTTTGAAATACTGGCTTCAAATAAGTTTGAAAATAATTTAAAAAAAAAAAGTCATCGTGCTGGACCACCTATCGTGACCATTCTAATTATTTTCGTTATTAATGAACCAATTAAAATATTTTTTTGCCGCAGATGATACAATTTTAAAGGAGATCTCTTTTAAACAAGTTTTCAAGGTTTGATTTCGACTTTTTTTCTCCTATCAACTAATTAACAGGCTCATAAGGATAAATTCCATTCCTAAAAACAAGGATTTCTTTTTTTTATCTAATAATAACATATCATTCTTCCTTCAGATAAAGACAAAAATTCCATCGAGATAATAACGTCTCTCTCACCATTCCTAAAAAAAAAAAGAAAAAAGTTCTCGATTGAACGATCTTTTCAATACTTTCATTTTCCATACTACTTTCTCGTAAACATTAACAAAAAATTCAAAAACTTGGAGCACTCGATCCCATCGCATTACGTCGCGACATAAACTCCATCCTCCCTTTCAAAAAATCCTTGATCAATCCTCAACAACATTTAATCGATCTTCCCAATACTTTTTACCCGCGCACTCTCAACGATACCCGATCCATCGAAACCACGATTTTCACTTATGTCGCTCGCAAATACACGCGTGTGCCTGATTTATCCGCGACAATGTCCCCCACTGGTGAAAAGAAGAGATATATTCGATTTATCCAGGGACAGAGAGGTTCTCCTGCGAGGAACATTCAATTATCGAACTCGAGAACGATCCCTCCATGTCCCGTGCGTTTTATCTCGATGTACGACCTCGGAAATCCGGCCGCCGCCATTTTAATATCGTTCCTTCTCCCGCTCGTAAATCGATCTCGCGAGAAATACGCGTGTTACTCGCGTTTAATTCGTGCTCGAATCGAAAAAGGGGGAGGGGAGAAAAGGGATTCAAGAAGGTGCAAAGAAGAAGGGGGGAAAAGAAAAAAAAAAAAGAAAAAAAAAGAACGGTTCAATTTGCGAGTTCGACCTTGCGATTCGAAAAACGACGGTGTTCGAGGATCATGTTCAACGATCCTCTGGTCTCGTTTTGTTCGGTTCATCGTGAATGATTGTCCCGCTAGTCGACGGTGCTTATTAATCCACCGACGCTGCCTTTGAACAGGTTTTTGCATTACAACTCTGTAGCCGGCCAGATTGCGGTAACGGGATTAAAAATTATTCACGAGAGATTGTTCGTTCGGTAGAATGTGTAATTATAATGCGAAATCGTTTTCGAAAGAGAGAGAGAGAGAGAGAGGGAGAGGATGGTTGGTTCTTGGTTGGTTGGCCGCCCCGTTTTCATGTTTCGAGAGGGGTTTTCCTTTTAAGTTTCGATAAACCGATTTATAAATCTCCCCACGGTAGAGAGAGATTATCTCTCCGGTGCAATGTACATTTTACATGTTACAAGATAAACTAGAAATAAGGAGCAGCATTTATCTTGTTGAACTTTTCAGAAATGAGTAAATTTGGATAAGTGAATTTTCTTTCAGAAATTTTGTACGACTCAAAATTAAAATATTTATTATATATTTCATTGATATTTTTCAATCCTATTCTAAATATATATTATTTAAAATAACTTTGTAAAAAAAGAAAAATAATTATATTATTTTATTATCAGGTTCGTGAAACTTGAAGAATCTGACTGATTATAATAAATATTATTCGAATGTGGAAAAAAATTTCGAAGCGATTAATTTCCTACGAAAATAATAAACATGGAAATATCAATGGCGACCACCAACATTGCTAAAACATTGATTGAGCAATTATTGAAGAATTAACGTGGATTATCGACTACAAGGTATTAAATATTGTTGACTCGTTTCATAATGTAACGAAACGGGTTTTTGCTTTCGAAACGATTATCGATAATCGTAATCATTGGCCAGATGGTTGATAGAACGATAGATAGAAGGGGAGGGAGGGGCGTGTTAAATCGTGCGTTCGTTCATATTTATTCAAGACAGAAGGTAACCTCGCGCGTTTGATAGCTGCCGATTGCAAAGCCATCCGAGACGATTAATCTCCTTCATCTTTATCCGTCTCGCGATCCTCTGTATCTCATCTTTCCATCGAAAGAAGGTTACTCCCCCTTCCACTTATCTTTTTAACCCTTTAACCTTCTGGTTAATTCTCTACTCGCGTATAGATATCGCAACTTTCTTCTCTCTTCCCCCCTTATTTTTCCCTTTTCGCGATAATAACAACTGCGCTGGATTTTTATGCAAAATTAAAAAAAACTAAGAAGAAATGAATAAAGTGAAATTTGCTTTATTCCTCCAATATCGTAAGTGTATTATTATATTTTTTATTATTATATTTTGAATATTTTGAGCATATCATTGCGCGCACTTTGCAGATATAATCGAAATTGATTCATAAAATTATTTACAAACGCTTATAATTTTTTGTGTAATGAAATTTTGAATTATCTGTTGTAGCGAGTATATACATCATCGAATAACAACAATTCATTACGTATTCAATTGATAATTATCAATTCATAAGGGTACATCGTTTCGATTAATTAAAATTTTAATTAAAAACTCGATACTGAAAAGTATTCTCTTGGTTAATAGTAAAACACATTAGCAAGCAATTAATCTTCCCGATTCGAGACACGAGGTCGTTCATCTTAACCTAAGAGCGTCGCAACATTAATTTCAAACGACACTTGTACCATGATAAATTCTAAAAAAAAAAGAAAAATTCGAGGTATTCACAAGTATATTTTCGCGGACAATTCTCGGTCTTCTTCTTCCGCGGCAACTTGTGCGAATAGTTCGTTTATTCAGTGTTTTCGTATTTTTCCTTTTGCACCTTATTACCCGGCCATAGACACGTTCACCGGTCTTTCACGTTGCCTTTTCTAACAACCTTGTCCCGCAAGAATGTAATCGGTTCCAAGGATGCGGCGGAACCGAAGAGGAAAGGGGTCGATAGGTTAAAGGGGTTAAGAAAGATAGAGCTAATTGCTCGCGGAGTAATATCTCATAGGTGTGTGCACAAGTGACGTGTGGGATAAATAAAAATGGCCAAGTTTATACTTGGAGCCGTTTAATTAAAGGCTCGATGGGATATTAATTCAATCTCGTTCCTCTTTAATCGGCGCTTTAATCGTTATCGTATTGGCTTTTCAACGGTTCTAATAAATTATTAATAATAAAGAATTATTTATACGTTTGATGATCTGTTCGTTTATTTCGATATATCGAAAAATTTAAGGAAAAGGATTAAGTTTGATTAAGATATTGTGAATGGAGAATGTTTTTGTGCAAAAATGTATATGAATAATATAATATAGTTGTGGAGTTAATTTAGGATTAATTTTTAGAGAAAATTTCCTCCGTGAAATTCTCGCGAAAAAAATATAAATTTATTTTAAAACGAAAATAGTTTTTGAATTGTTATGTTTTTATGTTCTGAGTATACTTATATTAGTTGAAAAATTTTGTAGATTAATAACAATTACAGAATCCTAGAGTAACATCTTTAAAATTTGTCAAGTATTTATTTAAGGGAAAAAAAATTGCATTACAATTTTCGAAAATTAATAAAATTAATTTGATCTTTCAAATTTTCAATATTACGTCGATTGATTTAAAGGAAATATACCTGTATGCATATAATAACAAATTAAACACACGCGATGCAAATTTTTTCGCTCGAATATTAAAAGAGGGATAAATAGATACATTAAAAAAAAAAAATAACACGTTTTTCCATTTGAAGGTCTGAAAAAAATCGTTTCCTTATCGCGAAAACGAGATTTACAACTATAATACCTGGTTTCTCGAGGCACCTTTTACACAAATTAGCAAAAGCATCGAATTAGAAATGCAGATCGATCGGCTACTGTAATCGATACGCCATCTTTAAAAATAATATTAGCATAAAAGTTGACGTTCACAGCATTTCAAATGTAACTCGCATAATTATGAATCGATGCGACTATTGCATGAGAATATAAAAAAGGGGAGAAATGTCGGTAGATTGTTTCATTAGATTAATAATTTATCAATAAGATGTAATTTAATATAATAAAATATTTGTTTTATATTATATGAATTTTTATATCTATATAAATATATGTATGTGTGTGTGTATGAAATTGTACAAGTTGAAATAATTCGATATATCGAATTTCAATATATATATTTCCTGTGAAAAAGTTAGGAAATAACGATCAACTAAAGGAATCTAATTATAATAATTAACCTTATCTTACGATGGAAATAACTCA